AGACAACTCAATCAATGCACATTCGCTCATATCTTTCTGTGCGCGCTTGTACGCATATTACCTTATTATTTCTATGGTTTCTTAAATCTATAATTCACTCTGAATACTTATTTTCCAGAAGAAAAAAAATGTATGTGCTTTTAAAAATCATTCATCTGTGTAAATAGTTCTGATTTCAGTATAATTTTCTATGCATGTCTATTAGTGTGAGTTGATTTTCGGTATTTTGTTTATTCAAGTTAAATTATGAATATATATATTCTTTGAAACCATGAATCGATCAATGTTAGACCACCATTAGAAACCTGGAAGCACTGGACGGCCGTTTCGTCCTGGTATGGGACTCCTCAGCAGTGCGCATCCGCGACTCCTGCACCTCGCAGGATTCGAACCCAGGACCTTCGATCTGTGTGCGGACGCCCTAACCGTTAGACCACTGCGGGTTGCGGGAGTCGTGGATACGCACTGCCACTGATGAGTCCCATACCAGGACGAAATGGCCGTCTTTCAGTGCTTCCAGGTTTCTAATGGTGGTCTAACATTGATCGATTCATGGTTTCAAAAAATGTGTAACTTAACAATCTTCACAACCCCGTAATGCATATATATATTCAATGTATATTGAAAAAGATCTTATTGATATTTTTGCATAGCTCATGCTACTACTACTTTTTTGGCTAATTGACCATATTTACGTTTTGCTTAACGAGATGAGATTTAAGCATAGTCAAATGGAATTTATATGAAGTGCATTGTTTGTTTTTATTTGTTAAGACATTTGACATTTTTCCACGCATCAAATTATAATCATGCTAATTTTTTTGTTGTCTGTTGTAAATCAAGTTGTGTGACCTTGACCACACTGGATGAATAGTATTGATGATATATAATAAAACACACTTACAAAGGATCATCTTGCGTATACTTGACTTTAAACTATTACATACTTCAGTTGTATGAAGTTTAATTTTTGCTACCTGATTAACTAACTCATTAACTACACTGAACTAGGAGGTCAGATGATTTCAGTGAGATAAATTTAGAAGTAGGAGGATAGAGATTATGAGGAATTCAGAAGGTTAGAATTAGGGAGAACACAAAGAATGGATGCGCCTGTGCCATTGCAAACGATTTTGAGCCATGTCGTTGAAGGTTTCTCTCTAACCATCGGTGACTTTCGTTTCGTGGACCCCAACCAGGTAACACATGTCCCAACCATCTCAAATGATGAAGTTTCACTAGTTCATCTATTGATTTGCCATACCGTGCACTCGTTTCGTAACGACAGCATTGCTTATACCGTTGTCCCAGGATACACGAGCAATACTTCGGAGACACCGATGATCGAAGACTAGTAACCTACGAACATCTACTCTTAACGGCCATGTTTCACAGCCATACAGAAAGACCGAGCAAACTGCTGCACGGAACACACGTCGTTTGGTTAGCAAGCAGATATTTGGCCTACGCCATAAGTGTCGCAGGTTGGTAAAACCCAATCGAGCCTTCTTTATCCGTGCTGAGATTTCGTCAGTCACCAGGCCATTAGCACTGATGAGACTGCCCAGATACATGAAGCAGTCTACATGTTCGACTACTTCACTCCCTATCACTAGTCCAGGTGCCGATGCAACCCAGATGATTTTTTTAAACTTAGAATACAATCATTGAAAGCTGAATTATTTACACCATTCTACCTTTGAATACTACAGAAGATTAATTAACAATCTTTGTTTGTGGAATATCGACACTTAGCGTCAATATTTACATTTTTACAATAAATGTGTTTATCCATCGTTACCTGATTTGATTGTTTCTTCCTCTATATTTGACTGTTATTTTTTTTAAAAAAAAATAATTGAATCAATAATTTTCTGCTCAGTATATATTATGCGTAAATTGTAAATTTCTATGCACGTTCTCTTGTTTTATTAACATGAATTCTTGCCGTTTTTCATTTCATTTTATTTTATTCATGTTAATTTCAAGTGTAACCCTTTTTTTCCTCTCCATTTCCTACCAATTTTTTGCATTTTTTTCCCATGACAATTTATATATGTCTGCCAATAATTTTCTTTGAGAAAAATATTATCACCTCATTGTATCTTGACTATACATATATATATAAGTATTGTAAAGCTATTTTCTTTGAACGATGTGCTTAGTTGAAGCTTTAAAATGGCGAAAGTATATCCTATTTCTTTACATTTAACTATTTTAACCTAAGAGAACATCGTTTAAGTTTTATCTGTACTACACAATGTATGTATGATGAATGATTGAAGAATTAAGTTTAAAGCTGATAGGTAAAATAATCTATTGGTTGGACTTTGGTCATGTTAATCACAAAACTATAAATTCACAAAAAAATAAGCATAAATTACCATAATAATAATACATTAATTATGTTATCTAATAAGCGCCTAGGTTCAACTTTCATTATGATCACGTAGACTAAGTTCACCATTTGATTTGTCAATCTTTACGGTCACAACTAGATAACACTGAAAAGACTGGAAACTAGATATAGGATAAAAATCAATAGAATAGTTGTTTATTGATTCAGTTTATTATAGTATTGGGTCTTCAGTTTGAGGTTATATGTTGTTAATTGTGTCTGTTTGCATATATATTTTATATTGTAAGTATACTTTAGTTGGTGTATCTTCATAGTACATAGTTCAAGTGTCCGATATAATTGTGTCACTTTCTACTGACTGTTTCCGTCGATTTTTTCTATTTTGTTAGTCTACAGTCGTTCAGTATGTATTTGAAAACATTGTTTAAATGGTTTCCTGCCATTCCATAGAGACGCTCTTATCTAATATACCTTTCGTTTTCAGTAGCCTTCATCCTAGACAGACAGACAGATGCAACGCAGAACTTCGTACACAAGTACATCAGTTCAGGTCGCCATACCACGTCAGCACAGAGACGTAACTGTCAGTTCAAATCCAATAGTGGTAGTGATAGTGGAAGTATTAGTAGTAATGGAGAAGATTAGGGAGCGAAGATATGATTCGAGAAGTATAATTCAGTAAGATAAATTTAGAAGGAGAAAGATAGAGATTACGAGGGATGCAGAAGGTCAGAATTAAAGAGAACACAAAGAGAGTGGATGCACCTGCACCATTGTAAACGGTTCTGAGCCATGTCATTATTCAAGGTTTCTAACCATCGGTGACTTTCGTCTGTGGCAGTGTCTGTCATTGAAAGGTGTACCAAAGAAGTACATTAACCTTATACAAGCACTCTACTCGAACACCACTGGTCGAGTGAGAGCATATGGCGAACTGTCATCTGAATTCTCTACATCAAGTGGTGTCCGTCAAGGCTGTCCACTCTCTCCATTCTTGTTCAATTTTGTCGTAGACATCCCCTTAGAGTTAACATTAAGCTCGTCAGATTTTTTAGGGGTTGACCTTCTACCAGGAAAGTCGGTTACTGATCTAGAATATGCCGATGACATAGTTCTATTCGGTGAAGACGCTGACAAAATGCAGAGTCTTCTGACTACCATAAGCAACAATGCGAGCATGTTTGGGATGCGGTTTTCTTCCTCGAAATGCAAAATGTTGCTTCAAGACTGGGTTGCATCGGCACCTGAACTAGTGATAGGGAGTGAAGTAGTCGAGCGTGTAGATCACTTCACTTATCTGGGGAGTCTCATCAGTGCTGACGGTCTGGTGACTGACGAAATCTCAGCTCGGATACAGAAAGCTCGATTGGCTTTTGCCAACCTGCGTCACTTATGGCGTAGGCGTGATATCCGTTCGCTAACCAAAGGGCGGGTGTACTGCGCAGCAGTTCGTTCCGTTCTTTTATATGGCTGTGAAACATGGCCGTTAAGAGTAGATGTTCGTAGGTTACTAGTATTCGATCATAGATGTTTAAGAAGCATTGCTAGTATATCGTGGGACAGCCGAGTAAGCAATGCTGTCGTTAGGAAACGAGTACTAGGTAAGGATGGCAGATCAATCGATGAAGTGGTGAAACTTCATCAGTTGAGGTGGTTGGGACATGTGTTACGTATGCCTAACCACCGACTCCCTCGATGAGCTTTGTTTTGTGGTGTAGGAGTAGGTTGGAAGAAAGCTAGGGGCGGCCAGACCAAAACATGGCAGAAATCCATGAAGTCCCTGACAAGTGGACTGAGTCATGTTGGTAGATGTAGACTACCTGGTTGGGGTCCGCGAGACGAAAGTCATCGATGGTTAGAGACCTTGAACGACATGGCTCAAAATCGTTTGCAATGGCGCAGGTGCATCCACTCTTTGAGCTCTCTCAAATCCTAATCTTCTGGATTCGCCAGCACCTCTACCTTTGCCTTTCTAACCTTATCTCACTGAATTATACTTCTTGAATAATACCTTAAACCCTAGTCTTCTTTATTATAACATTAATACCTCTACCATCTTTATCACCAGGGGATTTGATTTGACATTTGCGTCTCTGTGCTAATAATGTGGTATGGCAACATGAACTTGTGTACATACGTACGAAGTTCTACGTTGCAACTGACTGACTGACTTTCGTCTCGCGGACCCCAACCACGTAGCCTACATCTATCAACATGACTCAGTCCACTTGTCAGTGACTTCATGGATTTCTGCGATGTTTTGGTTTGGCCACCCCTAGCTTTCTTCCAACCTACTCTTACACCACAAAACATAGCTTGTCGAGACAGTCGGTGTTTAGGCATACGTAATACATCTCACATCCACCTCAACTGATGAGGTTTCACTACTTCATCTATTGATTTGACATCCTTACCTAGAACTCGTTTCCTAACGATAGCATTGCTTACTCAGTTGTCCCAGGATACACGAGCAATACTTCATTCTACGAGTAATCGAACAGACCATATATCATATTCCAGTTTAATGATTCATATCTATTCTTTTTCTTATATGAAGCAAGTATTCTTTTTTTTCGAACCAAATCTAATAATCTGAGTGTTGTTATTTTCTCTCTCGGTTATTTCATTTTATTTTCACAGATTCAGATGTTTTTCGTCACCTTTTAATGTAAAATCGAAAATGTCTAAACGTAAATCATGTTCAACATCACTAGATCCTAATGCAACAACTACACAACATGATGCTAATGATGCTGATAATCATGCTGAAGCAAAAATAACAACTGTTCAACCATCTTCTCTATCTGATCATACATCACAACTAAGCCATAATATTGTCTCATCAATGTCGACTGTTAGTATGCCTATTCCTACTACTAGTGTTAATTTTGTTACAAGTAATGACAGTTATCCTGTAACAATGAAATCATCATTGAATGATAATGATGAAAATATTAAGAAATGGTCATATTCTCCTGTTTATTCATCAATTCAAACAAATACCTCAACAATAATGACTACTAGTACTACTCATCATCATCAGCCACAGCAGCAACAGCAATCATCTAACACATCGACTACACATACAACATTTATATCAAATTCCAAATATCATCAATCAAATATAATGAAAACTAATTATGAAGCCATACCAACAGTTGTAGAACCAGTTGAAGTAGCTGCTGGTGAAGCACAAGCAGAATTAAATGAACGTGATCAACAAGTTTTACAGTAAGTATGAATAAATAGAAGAAAAATAAAACTCATTTGCGGTGAAATTCACAAAATCGATAAATTTATATAGTTTATAGTTTATAGTACAACATCAATCACAGATACATTTGTCTATTGCATATCAGGTAGTTGTCGTGTTATAATATCTTTCTGACTATAGAATGTAGTTAGTTTACTCCTGTTATGTTACTCAGTCAGTGGCGACGTGGAACTTTGTACGTACATACATTAGTTCAATGTGCCATACTACATTAGCACAGGGAGATGACATTTTCTGTCTGAATTCCATAGGAGTAGACGTTGTAGCAGAAGATTAGAGTTCGAAGATACGATTCGAGAAGTATATCCAAGTAGAACAAATTTAATTAGAGAAAAAAAGCTAGTGGAGAATTCAGATGAATGGAATTTGAGAGATAGCAAAGAATGAATGCATCTGCGACATTGCAAATGTTTTTGAACCACGTTCGATTACGATCTTCTAGCGGATCCCAACCAGATAGTCGACACCTACTGACATGGCTCAGTCTACTTTTTAGTGACTTCACCGCCATCTGCCATCCTTACCTAGCACCCGTTTCCTAACGACAGCATTGCTTACTCGGTTGTCCCAGAATATACGAGCAATGCTTCGAACACATCTATAATTGAATACTAATAACCTACGAAAGTCTTCTACTCTTACCGGCCGTGTTTCACATCCATATAGTAGGACAGAACATACTGCTACGCAGTACACACGTCCTTGATTAGCAAACGGATATCTCGCCTTCGTCATAAGTGACGCAGGTTTGCAAAAGCCAGGTGAGCCTTCTGTATGCGTGCTGATATTCTATCACACACCAGGCCCTCAGCACTGATGAGACTCCCAAGATAAGTGAAGCAGTCTACACGTTCAACTACTTCACTCCTTATCACTAGCTCAAGGTGCCGACGCAAGCCAATCCTTAAGCAACATTTTGCATTTCGAGCAAGAGAATCGCATCCTAAATATGCTTGTATTGTCGTTTAAGGTCGCCAGATGACTCTCTACATTTTGTCAGCGTTTTCTTTTACCAAACGTGATTAATTTTTACGCCATAAAATCTATACATTATTATTTCCAAAATTGATTTATAATCACTAAACAATATTCAATTGACCAATTTCTCTCTGCAAACATGTTTTTTTGCTGCATTGCATGTATTTGTTAAATTACAAAATTATCACTTTTTTTATGCTAATTACTAGTTTAGGCGAACAATTATTCATGTTTTACAATAATAATAATAATAATAATAATAATAATAATAATAATCTCATAATCGTTCATACTTTATACAATTACTACACATTGTATATGGTATGAAGTTTGAGCATTTAACTCACATTGCATTATATTATAATATGGTAGTTATGTATATGTTTGCTTGTTAAGAATTTGTGGCAAAAATAAAAACCGATTAATGTGTCTATCATCATTATGTAGTGCAAACTCACTGTCTCGTATCGTTTGCATTAGCGGTGCCGTGAGCTGAAGGGATGCTACTAGAGTTAGTCGTAGAGATAAGAGAGATATTAGGGGGTGTAAGAAGGATTTGATTTTGACCAATTTAGTCTCGTGTGCTGGTACGGGTATGAGGGCGGTTGTCACTTTCTGGATGCCCACACCGTGGAAGGTTGTTTCTTGAGGGACCTGAAAAGGAAGATAGATTAGTGTTGGTTTTAGAGACCTGGGTGCGTGACCGCAGAGCCCAAGGGACAACTGCTTGAGGCCGGTCACGCACGGCCTTTTTATGAAAGGTTTTTTGAGTGTTAGCTCCGCTCTTAAAAGCCCTTAGTGGGCACCCTTACCGCCGGAGACGGAAATCCGTGAGGTAGGGTGAGATGTGACATTTTTAGGGTCGACCTTTTCTAACCCTTCCTTCCTTGTGAGAAGGCAGCATCGCTGTAGTTGCTGGTGTTCCGAGGGAAACTCGTTACTGCTGTCAGACCTCTCTGCAGTAGTCAGCAGTACGACTTTGCCCTCAGATCTTGAGTATCTGCCTTAAGTCTCATTGTTCTCCAATCGACCTGCGTGGCATGGTAAAACCTTCAGTAGCATATAGCTCAGTTGGATCATGACAATAGGCAAGCTCGACCACCACGTCAAGGTAGCAGCTTCGGTCGGGAACAGTACTGAGTAATATCCAACCAAAACTATAAACATGATTCTACAATTTCTAGGTGTTTTAGCGAATATAATATAATATATTAATGTAAAACATTTCCTATCGTTTCCAATCTTCTAAAGACTTTAAGAAATGATATTTTGGGTCTGTAAGAAAATCTAAGAAAAATAGCCTACTCTATAGCTTACGCTCTAAACCGTACAAGAAATCAAACCCAATATCATTAGACTATCATGTTAAAATTCAGCTGTCTCCAGGTCACAACTTCAATCAGTTTGTTGGTAAGAATTTCTATCTTCTCGTTGTTTTTTGTTACAAACTCAAATTAAACGATCTCGATGTGATTTCTAGTACTAAAATGCAGATGCATACAAACATCAAATATGCCAGAATGTGCATCCTGAATTTAGTGTTAACTCTGTCTGCTAAGTTAAAGTCATCAATAGTTAGAGATCTTGAACGACATGGCTCAAAATCGTTTGCAATGGCGCAAGTGCACCCATTCATTGTGCTCTCTCAAATCCTAATCTTCTGTATTCGTCAGAACCCCTACCTTATCTCACTGAATTATACTTCTTGAATAATATCTTCAAACCCTCGTCTTCTTCTTTACTATTAATACCTCTACTATCTTTATCACTATGGGATTTGATTTGATATATGCGTCTCTGTGTTAATGTGGTGTGGCAACCTGAACTCACTTACATACGTACGAAGTTTTACGTTGCAACTGACTGACTGACTGTGTGTTAAGTTAAAGTTGTTTTCACTGTTTTATAATAATATTTTGTCTTATGCAATAAAATGTTTACGGAAACACAAACAGTCTTATTTTTTCAGCATATGCTTCAGTGTTAGAATAGAACAACAGCAACTGAACTTAATTTGTTTCCTTTTTGCATTATCTTATATCTATTTTAGTAGTTTATTATGCAAATAATGAAAAATAAAATCATCTTATCCTGTGTTATTGATATTTATTGTCCCTTTCCCGCATGAATGTCAGCAGTTTTTCCTGTAGTAGTTATTATGTAATAATAGGTTCCATGGCTCTTCAGCTGAATCATTTGATCCTTATAACGAGTTAAAAAGAAAAACACACATTCTACCCACTGGATTATCAGTTAATGTGAATAGGATTCATTTCACACAACCCTCATTCTATTATCACACTGACAAATGAATTAACTGTTGAGGTTATGACAAATCAGACGATTCCAAGCATATCATTATAGTGTGTAATACTATTTTGCCTTTACAGATATCGCATCGCACTAGAATTTATTCTATTACTTACTTACTTACTTACGCCTGTTACCCCTAATGAAGCATAGTCCACCGACCAGTATTCTCCAACCAACTCTGTCCTGGGCTTCCCTTTACAGTTCTGTCCAATTTTTGTTCATTCCTCTCATATCTTTCTCTATTTCTCGGCGTAATGTGTTCCTTCGCCTTCCTCTTTCCTTTGATCATAAGGGTCCCATGTGAGGGCTTGTCTTGTGATGCAGTTAGGTGCTTTTCGTAGTGTGTGTCCTATCCACTTCCACTGCTTCTTCCTGATTTCCTCCTCCACTGGAATCTGGTTTGTTCTCTCCCACAGTAGGTTGTTGCTGATAGTGTCTGGTCAACGAATCCGAAGTATTTTACGTAGACAACTGTTCATAAATACCTGTATCTTGTGGATGTGATGGCTTTCGTAGTTCTCCAAGTTTCTGCTCCATTCTATGGTGACTTGTCTCATAAGTTAAATAATTCTATACAATACTTTTAAATAACTAATGAAAACCTACCATAATTTTTTTGTTTTTGTTTAGATCATTACTAATGAATAAATCATCAACAATTGTCTCTTCTACGCCTATTAATAATTTGTCTTACACTGTCACTAATACACCAATGATGACGGCATCAGCAACATCTATGAATTCTATGTCATCCTCATCTGTTTCATTATCATCATTCAATAATTCATCGTCGGTAGCCAAGATGAATAAATCAAATACGGAATCGTTCAATATCAACTCGGCTAACAACACCACAATCACAACAGCACCACCAATAATACCAACAACAACTATCCAAGAAGATCAATTACCAAAACCATGTCTAAATGAAAATCTTGTTTCATCGTCAACCATGCCAACAAGTAGTATTAATAGTAAGCTTAAAACATTTCCATATTCATCTTCTTCACAACCAAATGAAATGACATCAGAACAAAAAATTGCCAATTCATCATTGACTAATCATTCTAATCATGATGATATGTCGTCGTATTTTGTACAATCAACATTAGATACAACCATTGGCGAAAAGCAAATTTCTAATGGAGAAAAGTAATCTCTTTGTTTTTTGTTGTACACATTTACATCTTTTATTTTTTTTTTTAATCTTTCTTATTTGTTTATTTTGTTTATTATTTGTAAACAATAAGTGAATTGTGTAAATACACACTAGCCAGCGCTATATCATCCAACATTATGATAATTGTTCATAACTCTAATGAGATAGTCTGTATATGCGAATATGGCCAATGGGGGTGTCTTTATGTCTTTACATTTGTCTGTCTCTAGCTTCCTTTTTTTTTCAATAATGATTTTCACTATCCTTATGATGTCCTACACAGAATAAAATGTCTAAATAGTCAATCACTTACAAAGTAGAATTTCGTACGTACGTACATCAGTTCAGGTTGTCTCATTACGTTAGCACAGAGACGTAATTGTCAGTTCAAATCCAGGAGTGATGGTAGAAGTATTAGCAGTAATGAAGGAGACTACGGTTTGAAGATATTATTCAAGAAGTATATTTCAGTGAGATATGTTTAGAAAGACAAAGGTAGAGGTGTTGACGAATCCAGAATATTAGGATTTGAGAGAGCTCAACGAATGGAAGCACTTGCGCCATTGCAAACAATTTAGAGCCATGTCATCATTATTCAAGGTCTCTAACCATCGGTAACTTTCGTTTCGCAGACCCCAACCAGATAGCCTACATATACCAACATGACTCAGTCTACTTGTCAGTGACTTCATGGATTTGTGCCATGTTTTGGTTTAGCCGCCCCTAACTTTCTTCCAACCTACTCCTACACCACAAAACAAAGCTCGTCGAGGCAGTCGGTGGTTGGGCATTCGTAATACATGTCCCAACCATCTCAACTGATGTCTAAATAAACTTCTATGATGATAATTCGACGGGTTTAATTTTTTTTTTTAATTTTATTATGATTAATTCTTTTCGGAGATATATTCTTTATCAATGTATTTCATAATTCATCTCTGTTCTGTTGTTAACTACTACTGTAGTTGAGGGGCAACCGAATCGAATTTATCGAAAATTACAGAGTTACTCAGTAAAATAAGAAAACCATATCGTAAACGGTCAATTTGCAAATCTTCAATCCATTGTCTGACATTTCACTTATTCATGCGTTTCATACAAATTCCATTGTGTTCCCACTCTTCCTTTCTTCTTGATCTTCCCCCATCTTCTGCTGCCAGACATTACGTTTTGATTCGCGTCATATACTACTACTTACCACACTACTTGTAATCATTTCTCCAAGTAATACATTTTAAAATTATTCAATGTACACTTATTTGGGTTTTTCTTTTCTCAAGAAAATCCACTATTATTAGCAATCAGTTGAAATGAATGTGATAACACATCTCCCATGAATAATAATAATTTATTTTTCTTTTAAATTTTTTATGACAATTAGCATAATCACACATGTGAATGCGTTTTTACCACAACAACAACAAAAAAACAACCCAAATATTGGATTGATTTTTATCTAATTATGTTGAAAATGTACTGGCCAAATTACACTTCTAACAAACCAACCAATCTATCTATCTATTTATCTATTCCTAAAACACATACACACACACACCTCATAGAAAGACAATTCTTATACTACTACTGGTGTGTATGATTCACTCAATTAATTAAGTGAATCATACACACCAGTAGTAGTATAAGAATTGTCTTTCTATGAGGTGTGTGTGTGTGTTTTAGGGATAGATAAATAGATAGATTGGTTTGTTAGAAGTGTAATTTGGCCAGTACATTTTCAACATAATTAGATAAAAATCAATCCAATATTTGGGTTGTTTTTTTGTTGTTGTTGTGGTAAAAACGCATTCACATGTGTGATTATGCTAATTGTCATAAAAAATTTAAAAGAAAAATAAATTATTATTATTCATGGGAGATGTGTTATCACATTCATTTCAACTGATTGCTAATAATAGTGGATTTTCTTGAGAAAAGAAAAACCCAAATAAGTGTACATTGAATAATTTTAAAATGTATTACTTGGAGAAATGATTACTAGTAGTGTGGTGCGCGCTACTTATAAGTAGTATATGACGTGAGTGTCAACGTAATGTCTGGCAGCAGAAGATGGGGGAAGATCAAGAAAGGAAGAGTTAGAACACAATGGAATTTGTATGAAACGCATGAATAAGTGAAATGTCAGACAATGGATTGAAGATTTCCAAATTAACCGTTTACGATATGGTTTTCCTATTTTACTGAGTAACTCTGTAATTTTCGTTAAATATAATTCGGTTGCCCTCACCTGTGTTCTCCTTCACTACAGTAGTAGTTAACAACAGAACAGAGATGAATAATGAAATATATTGATAAAGAATATATCTCCGATAAGAATTAATCTTAATAAAATTACAAAAAAAAATTAAACCCGTCGAATTATCATCATAGAAGTTTATTTAGACATCAGTTGAGATGGTTGGGACATGCATGGTATTACGAATGCCCAACCACCGACTGCCTCAATGAGCTATGTTTTGCAGTGTAGGAGTAGGTTGGAAGAAAGCTAGGGGCGGCCAAACCAAAACATGGCACAAATCCATGAAATCACTGACTAGTGGACTGAGTCATGTTGGTAGATGCAGGCTACCTGGTTAGGGTATGCGAAACGAAAGTTACCGGTGGTTAGAGACCTTGAACGACATGGCTCAAAATCGTTTTACAATGGCGCAGGTGCATCCACTCTTTGTGTTCTATGAAATTCTAACCTTCTGCATTCCTCATAATCTCTATCTTTCTCCTTCTAAATTTATCTTACTGAATTATACTTCTCGTATCATATCTTTGCTCCCTAATGTTCTGCATTGCTGCTAATTATTCTACTATTGCTATCACTCTTGGATATGAACTGACAGTTGTGTCCGCGAAACGTAAGTTACCGATGGTTAGAGACCTTGAATAATGATGACATGGCTCTAAATTGTTTGCAATGGCGCAAGTGCTTCCATTCGTTGAGCTCTCTCAAATCCTAATATTCTGGATTCGTCAACACCTCTACCTTTGTCTTTCTAAACATATCTCACTGAAATATACTTCTTGAATATTATCTTAAAATCCTAATCTTCTTCATTACTGCTAATAATTCTACTATCACTCTTGGATTTGAACTGACAATTACGTCTCTGTGCTAACGGAGTAAGACAACCTAAACTGATGTACGTACGTACGAAGTTCTACGTTGTAACTCACTGACTGACTGACTATTTAGACATTTTATTTTCTGTAGGACATCATAAGCATAGTGAAAATCATTAGTGAAAAAAAAGGAAGCTAGAGACAGACAAATATAAACACATAAAGACACCCCCATTGGCTATATTCACATATGTAGACTATCTCATTAGAGTTATAAACAATTATCATAATGTTGGATGATATAGCGCTGGTTAGTGTGTATTTACACAATTTACTTACTGTTTACAAATAATGAACAAAATAAACAAATAAGAAAGATTAAAAAAAATAAAAAGATGTAAGTGTGTACAACAAAAAAAAATGAGATTACTTTTCTCCATTAGAAATTGGCTTTTCAACAATGGACGACGTATCACCATGATTAGAATGATTAGTCAATGATGAGTTGGCAATTTTTTGTTCTGATGTCATTTCAGTTGGTTGTGAAGAAGATGAATATGGAAATGTTTTAAGCTTACTATTAATACTACTTGTTGGCATGGTTGACGATGAAACAAGATTTTCATTTAGCGATTGTTTCGGTGATTGGTCTTCTTGGATAGTTGTTGTTGCTGTTGTGATTGTAGTGTTAGCCGAGTTGATATTGAACGATTCCGTATTTGATTTATTCATCATGGCTACCGACGATGAATTATTGAATGATGATAATGAAACAGGTGAGGATGACATAGAATTCATCGATGTTGCTGATGTCGTCATCATTGGTGTATTAGTGACAGTGTAAGACAAATTATTAATAGGCGTAGAAGAGATAATTGTTGATGATTTATTCATTAGTAATGATCTAAACAAAAACAAAAAAATTAAAGAAATATGGTAGGTTTTAATTAGTTATTTAAAAGTGTTGTATAGAATTATTTAATTTATGAGACAAGTCACCATAGAATGGAGTGGAAACTTGGAAAACTACCAAAGCCATAACATCCAGAAGATACAAGTATTTATGAACAGCTGTCTTCGCAAAATACTTAGGATCCATTGGCCAGACACGATCAGCAACAACGAACTGTGGGAGAGAACAAACCAGATTCCAGTGGAGGAGGAAATCAGGAAGAAGTGGTGGAAGTGGATAGGACACACAATGCGTAAAGCATCCAACTGCGTCACGAGACAAGCCCTCACATGGAACCCTCAAGGCAAAAGGAAAAGTGGAAGGCCAATGAACACATTACGCCGAGAAATAGAGAAAGACATGAGAAGAATGAACAAACACTGGAAAGGACTGGAAAGGGAAGCCCAGGACAGAGTCGGTTGGAGAAAACTGGTGGCAGGCCTATGCTCGATTGGGGGTAACAGGCGTAAGTAAGTAAGTAATAGAATAAATTCTAGTGAGAAGAATATTACACACTATAATGATATGGCATGAAATCGTTTAATTTGTCATAACCTCAACAGTTAATACATTTGTCAGTGTGATAATAGAATGAGGGTTGTGTGAAATGAATCCTATTCACATTAACTGATAATCCAGTGGGTTGAAAGTGTGTTTTTCTTTTTAACTCATTATAAGGATCAAATGATTCAGCTGAAGAGCCATGGAACCTATTATTACATAATAACTACTACTACAGGAAAAACTGGTGACATTCATGCGGAAAAGGACAATAAACATTAGTAACACAGGATAAGATGATTTTATTTTCGATTGTTTGCATAATAAACTACTAAAATACATATAAGATAATGCACAAAGGAAACAAACTAAGTTCAATTGCTGTTGTTCTATTCCAAAATGTTCACTGAAATTCTCACATTATCAGAGAATTAGCTGTATGGGTTCAATAATCAGAAAACCGATATAACTATGACAGTTTAAAGCTTTCCTCAAAAAATCAATCCTACTGAAATTGCTCTGATATACGGAGTTTTTAAAAAAAATCTAACACTGAAGAATATTCTGAGAAAATAAATACTGTATGTGTTTCTGTAAAAATTTCATTGCATAAGACAGAATATTATTATTATTATAAAACAGTGAAACAAAATTGTAACTTAGCAGACAGTCAGTCAGTAGTCAGTTGCAACGTAGAACTTCGTACGTATGTACACAAATCCAGGTAGCCATACCACATTAACACAGAGACGCAAATGTCAAATCAAATCCCATAGTGATAAAGATAGTAGAGGTATTAATGGTAATGAAGAAGACTAGGGTTTGAAGATATTATTCAAGAAGTATAATTCAGTGAGATAAGGTTAGAAAGACAAAGGTAGATGTGCTGACGAATCCAGAAGATTACGATTTGGGAGAGCACAACGAATGGATGCACTTGCGCTATTGCGAACGATTTTGAGCCATGTCGTTCAAGGTCTCTAACCATTGGTGACTTTAACTTAGCAGAGAGAGTTAACACTGAATTCAGGATGCACATTCTGGCATATTTGATGTTCGTATGCATCTGCATCTTAGTACTAGAAATCACATCGAGATCATTTAATTTGAGTTTGTAACAAAAAGAACGACGAGAAGATAGAAATCCTTACCAACAAACTGGAGACCGTCGAATTTCAACATGGTAGTCTAATGATACTGGGTTTGATTTCTTGTATGGTTTAGAGCGTAAGGTATAGAGTAAGCTACTTTTTTTAGATTTTCTTACAGACCCAAAATATCATTTCTTAAAGTTTTTGGAAGATTGGAAACGCTAGGAAATGTTTTACATCTACATATTATATTGTCCCGACCGTAGATGCTACCTTGACATGGTGATCAGGCTTGCCTATCGTCATGACCCAGCCGAGCTATATTGGCTGGAACACATGTTCCTGAAGGTTCTACTATGCCAGACAGGTCGATTGGAGAACGATGAGACTAAAAGCAGCTACCCAAGGTCTGAGGGCGAAGTCGTACAACTGACTGCAGAGGGGTGTGACAGCAGTAACGTGTTTCCCTCGGACAACCAGTGTCTGCAGCGATGCTGCGTTCTCACAAGGAAGGAAGGAAGGGTTAGAATAGGTCGACCTTAAATATGTCACACCCCACCCTACCTCACGGATTTCCGTCTCCGTCGGTAAGGGTGCCCAAGAAGGGCCTTTAAGAACGGAGCTAATACTCAAAAAACCCTTCATAAAAGGCCGTGCGTGACCGGCCTCAAGCAGTTGTCCCTTGGACTCTGCGGTCACGCTCCCAGGTCTCCAAGACCAACACTAATCTATCTTCCTCTTCAGATCCCTCAAGAAACGACCTTCCATGGTGTGGGCAGCCAGAAAGCGATAACCGCCCTCATACCCGTAACAGCACACGAGACTAAATTGGTCGAAATAAAATCCTTGCAAGTGATTGACTGACAATACTGTTACTTCATATTTTGTATGGTTCCAGAAATTTCCAGAAAAATTCAAAGTCATGTGCTCCTTAGAAATACACTGGTTTTACCCTACACAAATGAATCACAGAACAAACCAGTTAGTTACTCATGATAAAAAAATTACAAATACATCTCAACTTTGTAACAGAGACAGTGAGTTTGCACTACATAATGATGATAGATACATTAATTGGTTTTTATTTTTGCCACAAATTCTTAACAAACAAGCATATACATAAATGCACTACGGGGTTGTGAAGATTGTTAAGTTATACATTTTTTGAAACCATGAATCAATCAATGTTAGACCACCATTAGAAACAAAGGAAGCACTGGACGGCCGTTTTGTCCTGATATGGGGACTCATCAGTAGTGCGCATCCACGACTACTGCACCTCGCAGGATTCGAACACAGGGCCTTCGGTATTGTGCGCGAACGTCCTAACCGTTAGACCACTGAGCCGGTATCTAACGGTGTTAATGTCTAACTTGATCAAATTCACGGAGTTGCGCAACCTCATATACAGTCTTCGGTAGACACTGCCTACACCCGAACAGGTTGAACTTCACTGGTCACGTCTTATCACTAGAACTCGGAGAAGATTCCTCACGAAGCTAGTCACTAGTGAGCACAGGTAATTTGCATTACGGAGTTGTGAAGATTGTTAAGTTACACACAATACCGAAGGTCCTGGGTTCGAATTCTGCGGGGTGCAGGAGTCGTGGATGCGCATTGCTGAGGAGTCCCATACTAGGACGAAACGGCCGTCCAGTGCTTCCAGGTTTCTAATGGTGGTCTAACATTGATCGATTCATGGTTTCAAAAAATATACATAAATACCATTTTAATATAATGCAATGTGAGCTAAATGCTCAAACTTCAAACCATGTACAATGTGTAGTAATTGTATAAAGTATAAACGATTATGAGATTATTATTATTATTGTAAAACATGAACGATTATTCGCCTAAACTAGTAATTAGCATAAAAAAGTGATAATTTTGTAATTTAACAAATACATGCAATGCAGAAAAAAACATGTTTGCAGAGAAAAATTGGTCAATTGAATATAAGCTTACTGATTATAAATCAATTTTGGAAATAATAATGTATAGAGGGTATATAGAGTAAAAATTAATCATGTTTGGTAAAAAACGCTGACAAAATGTAGAGAGTCATCTGAACACCTTGAACGACAATACAAGCATATTTAGGATGCGATTCTCTTCCTCGAAATGCAAAATGTTGCTTCAGGATTGGCGAAGTAGTGAAGTAGTCGAACGTGTAGACTGCTTCACTTATCGCGGGAGTCTCATCAGTGCTGAGGGCCTGGTGTGTGATAGAATATCAGCACGCATACAGAAGGCTCACCTGGCTTTTGCAAACCTGCGTCACTTATGACGAAGGCGAGATATCCGTTTGCTAATCAAGGACGTGTGTACTGCGTAGCAGTATGTTCTGTCCTACTATATGGATTCGGAACACGGCCGGTAAGAGTAGAAGACTTTCGTAGGTTATTAGTATTCAATTATAGATGTGTTCGAAGCATTGCTCGTATATTCTGGGACAACCGAGTAAGCAATGCTGTCGTTAGGAAACGGGTGCTACGTAAGGATGGCAGATGGCGGTGAAGTCACTAAAAAGTAGACTGAGCCATGTCAGTAGGTGTCGACTATCTGGTTGGGACCGGCTAGAAGATAGTAATCGAACGTGGCTCAAAAACATTTGCAATGTCACAGATGCATTCATTCTTTGCTTTCTCTCAAATTCCAATCTTTTGAATTCTACACTAGCTTATTTTCTCTAGTTAAATTTGTTTTACTTGGATATACTTCTCAAATCGTATCTTCGAACTCTAATCTTCTGCTACAACGTCTACTCCTATGGAATTCAGACAGAAAATGTCATCTCCCTGTGCTAATGTAGTATGGCACATTGAACTAATGTATGTACATACAAAGTTCTACGTCGCCACTGACTGAGTAACATAACAAACATAACAAACTAACTATATTCTATAGTGAGATGGATATTATAACACGACAACTACCTAATATGCAATAAACAAATGCATCTGTGATTGATGTTGTACTATAAACTATATAAATTTATCGATTTTGTGAATTTCACCGCAAATGAGTTTTATTTTTCTTCTATTTATTCATACTTACTGTAAAACTTGTTGATCACGTTCATTTAATTCTGCTTGTGCTTCACCAGCAGCTACTTCAACTGGTTCTACAACTGTTGGTATGGCTTCATAATTAGTTTTCATTATATTTGATTGATGATATTTGGAATTTGATATGAATGTTGTATGTGTAGTCGATGTGTTAGACGATTGCTGCTGCTGCTGGTGCTGAGGATGATGATGAGTAGTACTAGTAGTCATTATTGTTGAGGTATTTGTTTGAATTGATGAATAAACAGGAGAATATGACCATTTCTTAATATTTTCATCATTATCATTCAATGATGATTTCACTGTTACAGGATAACTGTCATTACTTGTAACAAAAGTAACACTAGTAGTAGGAATAGGCATACTAACAGTCGACATTGATGAGACAATATTATGGCTTAGTTGTGATGTATGATCAGATAGAGAAGATGGTTGAAGAGTTGTTATTTTTGCTTCAGCATGATTATCAGCATCATTAGCATCATGTTGTGTAGTTGTTGCATTAGGATCTAATGATGTTGAACATGATTTACGTTTAGACATTTTTGATTTTACATTAAAAGGTGACGAAAAACATTTGAATCTGTGAAAATAAAATGAAATAACCGAGAGAAAAGAAAAGCAACACTGAGATTATTAGATTTGGTTCGAAAAAAAAAGAATACTTGCTTCATATAAGAAAAAGAATAGATATGAATCATTAGACTGGGATATGATATATGGTCTGTTCGATTACTCGTTGGATGAAGTATTGCTCGTGTATCCTGGGACAACTGAGTAAGCAATGCTATCGTTAGGAAACGAGTGCACGGTAAGGATGGCAAATCGATAGATGAAGTAGTGAGACTTCATCAGTTGAGGTGGTTGGGACATGCGTTACGTATGCCTAACCACCGACTGCCGAGACGAGCTATGTTTTGTGGTGTAGGAGTAGGTTGGAAGATAGCTAGGGGCGGCCAGACCAAAACATGGCACAAATCCATGAAGTCACTGACAAGTGGACTGAGTCATGTTGATAGATGTAGGCTACTTGGTTGGGCTCCGCGAGACGAAAGTCACCGATGGTTAGAGACCTTGAATAATGACATGGCTCAGAATCGTTTGCAATGGTGAGCGCAGGTGCATCCACTCTTTGTGTTCTATGAAATTCTAACCTTCTGAATTCCTCATAATCTCTATCTTTCTCCTTCTAAATTTATCTCATTGAATTATACTTCTCGAATCATATCTTCGCTCCCTAATCTTCTCCATTACTGCTAATACTTCCACTATCGCTATCACTGTTGGATTCGAACTGACAGTTACGTCTCTGTGCTGACGTGTTATAGCAACCTGAACTGATGTACTTATGTACGAAGTTCTGCTTTGTATCTGTCTGGGATGAAGGCTACTGAGAACCAAAGGTATATTACATAAGAACGTCTCTATGGAATGACAGGAAACCATTTAAACAATGTTTTCAAATACATACTGACTGACCGCAGGCTAACAAAACAGAAAAAACAATCGATGGAAACAGTCAGTAGAAAGTGACACAATTATATCGGACACTTGAACTATAAACTATGAAGAACACCAACTAAAGTATACTTACAATGTAAAATATATGCAAACAGACACAATTAACAACATATAACCTCAGACTGAAGACCCAACAGTATCATAAACTGAATATATAAACAACTATTCTATTGATTTTTATCCTATATCTAGTTTCCAGTCTTTTCAGTGTTATCTAGTTGTGACCGTAACAATTGACAAATCAAATGGTCAACTTAGTCTACGTGATAATAATCAAAGATGAACCTAGGAGCTTATTAGATAACATAATTAATGTATTATTATTATGGTAATTTATGCTTATTTGATTTTTGTGAATTTATAGTTCTGTGATTAACATGACCAAAGTCCAACCAATAGATTATTTTACCTATCAGCTTTAAACGTAATTCTTCAATCATTTATCATACATACATTGTGTAGTACAGATATAACTTAAACGATGTTCTCTCAGGTTAAAATATTTAAATGTAAAGAAATAGGATATACTTTCGCCATTTTAAAGCTTCAACTAAGCACATCGTTCAAAGAAAATAGATTTACAATACTCATATATATGTACAGTCAAGATACAATGAGATGATAATATTTTTCTCAAAGAAAATTATTGGCAGACATATATAAATTGTCATGGGAAAAAAAATGCAAAAAATTGGTGGGAAATGGAGAGGAAAAAAAGGGTTACACTTGAAATTAACATGAATAAATAGAAATGAAATGAAAAAAACGGCAAGAATTCATGTTAATAAAACAAGAGAACGTGCATAGAAATTGACAATTTACGCATAATATATACTGAGCAGAAAATTATTGATTCAATTATTTTTTTTTAAAAAAAATAACAGTCAAATATAGAGGAAGAAACAATCAAATCAGGTAACGATGGATAAACACATTTATTGTAAATGTAAATATTGACGCGAAGTGTCGATATTCCATAAACAAAGATTGTTAATTAATCTTCTGTAGTATTCAAAGGTAGAATGGTGTAAATAATTCAGCTTTCAATGATTGTATTCTAAGTTTAAAAAATCATCTGGGTTTCATCGGCACCTGAACTAGTGATAGGGAGTGAAGTAGTCGAACATGTAAACTGCTTCACTTATCTGGGCAGTCTCATCAGTGCTGATGGCCTGGTGACTGACGAAATCTCAGCTCGGATACAGAAGGCTCGATTGGGTTTTAACAACCTGCGTCACTTATGGCGTAGGCCAAATTTCAGCTTGTTAACCAAAGGACGAGTGTGCAGCAGTTCGCTCCGTCCTACTATACGGATGCGAAACATTGCCGTTAAGAGTAGAGGACATTCGTAGGTTACTAATATTCGATCATCGATGTTTCCTGGGACAACTGCATAAGCAATGCTGTCGTTAGGAAACGAGTTCTAGGTAAGGATGGCAGATCAATAGATGAAGTAGTGAAGCTTCATCATTTGAGATGGTTGGGATATGTGTTACGTATGCCTAACTACCGACTGCCTCAACGGGCTGCTTTCCATTGTTGGAGTAGGTTGGAAGAAATTTAGGGGCGGCCAGACCAAAACATGACACAAATCCATGAAGTTACTGACAAGTGGACTGAGTCATGTTGATAGGTGTAGGCTACCTGGTTGGGGTCCGCAAGACGAAAGTCACCGATGGTTAGAGAGAAACCTTCAACGACATGGCTCAAAATCGTTTGCAATAGCACAGGTGCATCCATTTTTTGTGTTCTCCCTAATTCTAACCTTCTGAATTCCTCATAATCTCTATCCTCCTACTTCTAAATTTATCTCACTGAAATCATCTGACCTCCTAGTTCAGTGTAGTTAATGAGTTAGTTAATCAGGTAGCAAAAATTAAACTTCATACAATTGAAGTATGTAATTGTTTAAAGTCAAGTATACGCAAGATGATCCTTTGTAAGTGTGTTTTATTATATATATCATCAATACCATTCATCCAGTGTGGTCAAGGTCACACAACTTGATTTACAACAGACAACAAAAAAATTAGCATGATTATAATTTGATGCGTGGAAAAATGTCAAATGTCTTAACAAATAAAAACAAACAATGCACTTCATATAAATTCCATTTGACTAACGAGATTTATCTCGTTAAGCTAAACGTAAATATGGTCAATTAGCTAAAAAGTAGTAGTAGCTTGAGCTATGCAAAAATATCAATAAGATCTTTTTCAATATACATTGAATATATATATGCATTACGGGGTTGTGAAGATTGTTAAGTTACACATTTTTTGAAACCATGAATCGATCGATGTTAGGCCACCATTAGAAACCTGGAAGCATTTCGTCCTGGTATGGGACTCATCAACTCCGCCAGTAGGACCTTAGGGGCTACTGCCGGTCTCAAGCCCGGGTAAAGAAGGAGGGTTGGACATGGGGTTGGCGACCCCATCCCGACAAAAAATAACTTGCCAAAAAAACGGTAACCAGAAAAATAATTCAAACATTTTAACTCTGCCCTGGGAGTTGGAAGAAGAATTATGACGTCACGTGATGAAAGCCGAGTTCCCTCGGAAGTCACGGGGCCGATGACTCTTCTCACAACCAGAGCAACCATTTTTTTAGGTACATAGAACGTTCGTACATTGTGGGAGACTGGAAGACTATTTCAAGTTGCGGCAGAAATGAAACGATACAACCTTGAGGTGCTCGGCATCAGTGAAACGCATTGGACACAAGTAGGACGACTGAGACTTGCTTCAGGGGAACTGCTGTTATACTCTGGTCATGAAGAGGAAAACGCTTCACATACACAAGGAGTTGCACTGATGCTGTCCAAACATGCACAAAAGGCACTGATAGGATGGGAATCTCATGGACCCAGGATCATTAAAGCATCCTTCAAAACGAAGAAAGAGGACATTACAATGAACGTCATCCAATGTTATGCACCTACCAATGACTACAATGACGACGTTAAAGATCAATTCTACGAAAGGCTGCAGTCAATCGTCGAGAAATGTTCACCAAAGGATTTGACGATTCTTATGGGAGACCTGAATGCCAAGGTTGGAATGGACAACACTGGATATGAAGACATCATGGGACGACATGGACTGGGAGAAAGGAACGAAAACGGTGAGAGATTTGCAAACCTATGTGCCTTCAACAAACTGGTCATCGGTGGCACAATATTCCCGCACAAACGCATACACAAAGCTACATGGATTTCACCGGATCACACTACTCAAAACCAAATTGACCATATCTGTATCAACAAAAAGTTCAGAAGGACCATGGAGGATGTGAGAACCAAGAGAGGAGCTGATATAGCTTCAGATCACCATTTGCTGATCGCCAAAATGAGATTGAAGCTAAAGAATCACTGGACAACGGGGCAGACAACATCACAGAAGTTTAATACAGCCTTTCTTCGGGATACCGTAAAACTCAACGAATTAAACATAGCCCTCACCAATAGGTTCCAGGCCTTTCAGGATCTACACAATGGAGAGGACACAACATTGGAGAACAATTGGAAAGGGATTAAGGAGGCAATCACTTCAACATGTCAGGAGGTCCTTGGTCGCAAGAAGCACCATCACAAGGAATGGATCTCTGTTGATACTCTTGCAAAAATTGAAGAAAGGAGGAACAAGAAGGCAGTAATCAATGTCAGCCGAACAAGAGCAGAGAAAGTTAAGGCGCAAGCCGAGTATACAGAAGCAAACAGGGAAGTGAAGAAGAGCATCAGAGCTGACAAACGAAAATTTGTGGAAGATCTAGCAATGACGGCGGAAAAGGCTGCAAGAGAAGGAAACATGAGACAATTGTACGAAACTACAAAGAAGCTCGCCGGAAACTATCGTAAACCAGAACGACCAGTGAAAAGCAAGGATGGGAAAACAATCAGCAACACTGACGAACAGCGAAATAGGTGGGTGGAGCACTTTAAGGAACTATTGAATCGACCAGCTCCACTGAACACACCCAACATCGAAGCAGCATCCAAGGACCACCCAATTAATATTGGCGCACCTACGATTGAGGAGATCAGTATAGCCATCAGACAAA